TGAAGTCAGGATCAAGCCCTTCTATACTCCTGTCCTAGTTTCATCACAGAATTCAGGTCCCGAAGGACCATACCCTGAATTGTCTGCTCTGAGCACTAGCTGCTGACAGAGTCCCAGAAGCATTAGCCTCACTTCCTCTTCTGTGTGTGTATGCGTGTGCTCATGTGTGCAGGTGTGTGTGTGTGTGTGTGTGCAGATCTGTGTGCATGTATGTGGAGGCGAGAGGTCAACCTCAGGTGTCATTCCTCAGGAACTGTCTCTTTGTCCACCTTGTTTTATGAGACATGGTCTTTCACTGGCCTAGAACTCACCAAGTAGACTAGGTTAGCTAGCACTAGTGTAGCACTCACGGGAGCACTAGGACTAAAACTGATGGGCACCACAAACTCAATCCTACTTGACACATTAACATTACAGTGAAGATGTAAAACAAGGGGTTAGGGAGATAGTTCACTGTACAGAGTGTTTGCCACGCAAGCATGAGGACCTAAGTCTGGATCCCCAGCACCCGCATAAAAAGCCACATGCTTTTTTTTTTTTCCTCTCCAGAGGGCTGGAGAGATCTCAGCAGCTAAGAGCACTGGCTGCTCTTGCAGAGAACCTGGGTTCAGTTCCCAAAACCCACATGGCAGCTAAACTGTCCATGACTCCAGTTCCAGGGATCCAATGCCCTCTTCTGACTTCTGTGAGCACTGCATGCACGTGGTGCACTTACATATATGCAGGCAAACACTAATACACATAAACTAAAAGTAAATAAATAAATAAATCATTTAAATCTTTTTTTAAAAAAAAGTCAGGCAGGCACAGCAACATGTGCTTTTAACTCCAGCACTGATGACAGGGGCTATGGAGACAGGAGGACCCTTGAGGCTTTCTGGCCAACTAGTCTAATCAAATCAGTGAGCTCCAGGTTCAGTGAGAGACCCTGTCCCAATAAACAATGTGAAGAGCAATAGAGGAAGTCACCTGATATCTAGCTCTAGTTTCACACATGCATGTCACCCACGTGTGTACACACACAAACACACACACACACACACAAATGTAAACCAAAATTTAACTTGTTCTTATAGACAGTCTTGATGACTAGAATACTGTGTGGCATACAGAAGGTGTTCACTAAATATTTGTTAAATAAACTTCATTGCCTTTCCTTATTCAATTCTCTGACTTGATTCCATAAACTCAAAGCTTCTTCATTAAAGGGGAGGCTGTGCCGTAGTTTGGATCTGGACTATCTTTAAAGTCCCACAATTATCCTTAGATTGGTACTAGATGGAGGTAACAGAACCTTCAAGAGACCGAACCTAGAGAATGCCCTCAAGGGCATGTTTGACCCAGGTGTGTGCCTGTCTCTTCTTTTTTTTCTCATCCCCACCCCATCTCTGTAGCCATGAGGTAAGCAGCTTTGCTTCACTATATGTTCCCTCCATGTTGTGGTGTCTCACTACAGTCCCCAAAGCAATATAACCAACCAGCATACACAAAAACCTCCAAACCTTCTCTGTTTATGAGTTGATTATCTCAAGTATCCTGTTATAGCAATGAAAAGCTGAATGGCACACATCTGGATTAACAACATGGGTACACTAAGTCCTCTAAATATCTATTCAGAGAAATACCTAGATCTTTTAAGAAATATTAAACACTGGTTCTGAGCTAATATCAATTCCTGATGGCTTAGAGTGTCAGGTAAAAGTATGTCATATCACAAAATGAAACTACATTCCATGTCCATTTTACAATTATTGAAATCCGGAGCCTGGTGATTTCCCCAGTTCCTGAATGTACAGTTTAGAGGCATACCGGCAGCTGTCAGAAGCTCCATCCTGCTTCCTTGACCCATGAAGTATACATTTTTGTGGTAAGAATGGCTAACTGAAAGTCTCGGGAACCCTCCTCACTCTAAAACAGTGACTCATTAGCAATAGTCATCCTCGTGACTAAAAAGTCACCACCAAACTAGAAGGCCCATCTCTGCTGCCTGCCTATTTAACCTGCCAGTTGTCTGTGCAGAAGCCATGGAGTCTTGAAGAAGCCAGTAGGGGGCCAGTGGATAGTTCAGTGAGGAAAGTGCTTGCCATGCAAGCCTTACAATCTGAGTTCAAGTCCTGGATCCTATGTTAAGGTGGAAGGAGAGAACTGACTCCACAAAGTTAGCCTCTGATCTCCACACATGCACCATCACACAAGCCCCATCATTTACACACATGCTAATAATGTTTAAAAATAATAATGATGAAAGAATCCAGTGGGCTAACCTAGGTTGGCCTGTGTGGATTCTCTCATCACCAGTGTGGCCCCTGTATGGGAACACATTGCTAATTCCTGACTCTAGTACCAAGCCATTTCTTTGATGGAGTCTGCTTGTACGTACCTGTAGGCCACATGTGTACACAAGCATGTCAGTGTCCATGTGTTGTGTGTATGTATGCACAGAAGCATGATGGTGTACATATTTATGTATGTGAATGAGCATGTTGGTATGCATACATGTATGTGCACATGTATATGCCACATGCCAGTGTGTATGTGTGTGTTCAGGGGTCAGCAGAAGTATATTCCACTCCCCAGGACAGGGACCACAGCAAACTTTTCACCTCACCTTAGCTCACCTACTCTGTGTTATCCTTCAGCCAAAAATGACCTATCCTTCCTATTTCCAACGGCCCCTTGGTCTATAGCATCATATTGTTAGGTCTTCGAGGCAAGCAAAAAGCAAGATACCCTAAACACTTGGACACTGTATCAGATGGAGGACATGCTTAATAAAAACAGAGGGATCTACCACTTCAGTGGAGATTCTAGGCAGACATCCAGGATGTCCAGTTGTCTGGAACATTCTAGAGTATCCCTTTGAAAAGGACATGTGGGACTACAACCTCCACACAGTGCTGGATGGGCCTATTGAGACAGCACATACTCTCTGGGTAGACTGTTCCTGCTGATGCCCCAAATGTGGTAACTGTGGGGGCTAACAGCAAGTATAAGGTCTCCATCTGGCCCACCTGAACTGAACTTTAGGGCTTTTCACATGGGTGTCATGCTTCAGTATCCCTCAGTGCCTGGGATGCCCACAGCAGATGTGGGTGCCATGCAGAGTCTAAAGAAAATCCCAGAGCAGAAGTCTCGCCCAGGCTTTGGGCATCTGAGGCACTGTTCCACCTGGGGCCTGGTAGAGATTAGCTGTGACTCTGCTAATAGTCCAACAGAGGACCCTGAGGTCAACAGTTATCTGTCAACAGCTGATCCCTCCGAGACCCAGGAGACCGTTGCAGCCTTTGGCTTCCTTCACCTGCCATGTGACCAGTGTTTGAGGAAGTACAAGTGTGATCTGCATTTACATGGGGCTCTGCAAGCTGCACCTGAATAGCCAGAAGGGGGTGTGGTTGGCTCTCAGTCCCTTCCAAGGGAGAGCCTCAGATCATGTGGGATCCTGCCCTCGGTGTACACGGAGTGTCCTAGGACAGACCCTGGAGTCTGGGGACAGGAGGTGTGGAAAAGCCTCTCAGAATAAGTGGGCAATGTGAGAACATCCTGTCCTGGGAATGCTATTCCAAAGGCCCAGCTCCCTGACCTGGTTAGCAAGCAGGAAAGGTGGCTGCCTCAGAAATGCCAACAGTCTCCCCCAGACCGCACTCTGCTTGCTCCAAGAGCTGAGACCAGCAGGGCAGATGGAGATTCTGCCCAGCTGACTTGTAACCCAAGCCACCTGCTGCTTACTACTGTGGCGGAGGTGAGGAAGAACCAAGGTCCCTGGGCTCACAAAAGCACTACGCACAATGTATAACAAGATCCTCACCTGAATGGTGACAGAATGAATTAGCTACACTTTCCAAATGGGAAAACAAAAACCAAAGTGGCTAAGTGATCAACCCTAATCAAGTTTAGGATTCTGTGATGGGATCCTAATTTTCAAGGGACTCTGGACACGGAAGCCAAAAGCCAAGATAGCAGCCCTACATCACCCCCACTGTCTGGTGTAGATTCCTGGAAGCCACCTTGCCCTCTGCTCTTCTAGTGCTTGTGTTATAACCAACAGGTGGTTACAGCTAAGTGGGGTGCCCTTCCTGGACAGCTGCGAAAGGGAGGCTGAGGGTAGGCAAGGTTCTTACCCTTGAAGGTCCCGCCTTGAGTCATCTGGCTTCTCCCCAGAGCTCTCAGGGCCAGGGAACTCCGCCTCACCCTTGGGTCTGCACCTCTAGAAGGTGGTGCCACACAGCCTTGGCACCTCCTCCTACCATCCTACCATCACCGGCCAGCCTCACCCAGGGCTTCCCCAACGACGCCCCGGACCCCCTCACTCCCTGCAGGCCTCCTACTGACTCTTTCCGGATTCTTGGAACCTGGGTTCTGAAGTCAGGACCTTTTCCCACTCTCCCACACTGCTCACTTGGAGAGGTGGAGCTTGGCAACTTGCAACCAGCTTGGCAACTTGCAACCAGCTACCTTTTGTCAGTGTTCTCCCGCTAGCCGCCCACCCTGAGATCCCATGCGGGCAAGAGAGCTAACAGCACCCCAGTGCGATGGCGTCTCCATGACCCGAGGAGCAGGCACCCCTCGCTCCTCTACTAGGTTCCCATTTCCCTGCGGCTGCTTAGGCACTCGCTCACGGTGGTGCCCCAGCGGAGATTCTCCCTCTCACCAGTTAGACACAGGTAATAACAATTACCCTATGTCCTATGTCCTGCGCAATTGTTCTATGCGCAGAGGACAAACTTCGAGAAACACTGGGGTGCGGGCTGGGCGCGCCCCAGGCTCTCCCGGCCGGTCAAGTCAGCCTCCCCAGTGCACCTCTCCTTCCCCGCGGTCCCCGCGGTCCCCACCGCCACACTCCGGCAGGCCAACGCCTCCGGATCCCGCACCAAAGCCGCGACGGCTGTAGGGACCTTTCGCGAATACCCGCAGCCACCCCATAGACTAGAGGCTGCTGCCCGTCTCCAAGCTCAGCGAGAGGCTGCAAGCCCAACTTGGGTCCCCGGGACCCCAGTTCTCACCTTGAAGAAGCTCCGAAGGAAGTGCACCACGCCGAGCATGGTGCCGCCGGGGCGCCGCGACCGCCCGCAGCACTGGAGCAGCGCCACCCAGCCCGCTCCGACGCCACCCCGCACCCTGCCGCGCCCCGCCCCATGGTCCGCCCTGGACCAACGAGGCGCCCCGCCTCCCCAACCCGGCCACTCGGGACACGTGCGAGTCCGCAGGGACGTGTCCAGACACGGGTCCTGCCCGCCCCTGGGGCCTCGGAGAGACACAGCTGTCTTCGGACATGGTCTGGAAGAGCTCTTAAAGTCCAGTATGACCCTGAGAATTTTTTCTGCGAGCAAAAGGGTGGCGAGTGAACTTACTTCTGTGCATCTGCCAGGAAACCCCCGCACACACAAGTGCGCATATCCAGCTTTGGTCCCCTCCTCCTGTCTGGCACAGGTCCGGTGACTCAGAGTGCGTGCTGCGGTCCTTCCAGAGGGGAGCATTTAGTCAAGCTTTGAAAACTTCCAGAGCTCCTTTTACGCAATAGTTTACCTACTGGTTGAGGAAACAGAGGCTCAGCAGTAGTCTATATTCACACAGCTGGGGTAGGGCAATTGCAGATCCAAATCCCTGCGACATAACTCTTGGCCTAGAGATCACACTTGCTCCTCTCCATAACTTAACAGGTGTGCTCTGGCAGACCTACGAGATGGTGGAGAGGTGATGGATATAGAGAGCAGCTTTCTGAGAAGGGGTGAAGGGAAGTCATGGCTGATTGCTTTGTGGGACTGGAGCAAGTAGGGCCGTCCAAGGACACAGAGGCCACAATTTGGGGCCGCAGTTTTGATGAGCTATCAAAATTTTAGTTTTAATTTCTTCTGTGTGTGCTCAGGTACATCCACGTGAATCAGAAGAGGTTGTCTGGTGTCTTCCTCTATTGCTCCAGGCCTTATTCACTTGAGACAATCTGTCACTGAATCTGGAGCTTTTTTTCTTCTTCTTTAATCCAATCTCCGACCCCTTCCTATGACTCAACACTAGGGTTACAGGCACACAGGACTACCCCTGGGTTTTTACATAGAAGCTGGGAATTCAGACTCAGGTGCGCTTGCGACACAAATGTGTGCTGTTACCCTCTGAGCCATCTCCCCAGGCCCTAGTTTTAATTTCCTAACATTAAAAGAAAAGCAGTTAAGTGAACTGACAATGGGACAAACCTGGGTTATATTCATTTTTATATGCAAGTGCAGTTGTAACATACTTGAACATGTACACACACACACATCATGAACAAAAAATGTAGTTTTCTGCAAGAGGGACAAAAAGCCAAGAGCTTGTGTGCTTCATACCACACTGGATGGGTTTGGTAGTTCCTTGGGAGCTGAACATCTACCAACATTGGCTTTGTGCCTCTTCTGCCCCAGGCTGCACCTCTCACCCAAGTCCTGGCCCCACTGGTCAGCAGCACATGTCCAGGTCCAGCTATCTCTGTGTCCATTGGAGAGCCCTGGGGACACTCCCAGCCTGCATTCCTCCTAGTATCCTTCCTCCTTTCAAGGCTCTGTGCAGTTTCCCGAAGGCCTTCCATTCCAGGTCTCAGCCCTGCTCTGCTCCTCATGGCCCAGCAGCTCCACTATTGCTGACCATCCCATCCTACTATGCTCCATGTTCCTGGGCCTCTCAACTATAGGGTGTCCCCAGAGCTCTTTTAAGATTCAGTTCCAAAATGTTCATGGTGTGTCTCCCATTTCTGACAGCAGCACGGGCAGGCTGGCCTCTAACCAGGAAAGCTGAAGGCTGACTCCCTGCCAGGCTGCCTGGAGTTCCCATGAGGGATGTGAGCAACCTTGTACTTTATATCCTAGGAGCTCATCAAGGCCAAGAGAGCCCAGGTTTTGCTGACAGAAGCTGTGGGAGGCCAGTATTCAGGAGCATAGCCTTAGCCTCAGTTTTGGCCTCAGCCTCATCAGTGGGCACTTTCTCAGCCAGAATCACACCTGCTGCACCAGCTCTTCTGCTTCCTACCTGTCTCAGAGTCTGCATCCTCCATATTCTTACAAACAGGCCTTCATTGTAACATCAGATAGGGGAAGTTTCTGGGCATTGTGTTCCAGCTCCTGGCTGGTGACTGTGCGTGCCCAGGAGCTCTAGCCATAGGGAAGTACAGGGCATGAGCCTCGTCCCTCTTCAGCCCTGCCCATCTACCTCCAGCTTTCCTGTCACTTGGCATCTGCTGTGATGTTTCTTCTGCAGTCAGTTGGGGGTGCATTTAAATGTGATGGAAGCACATCAGAGGTGGAAGCAAAATGTAGATTCAGGAAGATATAAACAATAAAATTTGGAACATTTTCCATGAGGGAGGCTATCACCCCTCCTGAAATCCTGTTCTCCATTAGCAAGAGTCAGACATCAAGCTACGTTTGATTAACTTCCTCTTGAGCATCATTGACTATATTTCCTGCAGGACTGCTGAGAAGTCAGGTTGTGGCAAGGGTCCTTGAGACACAGTAGGGACCTGGTGAATGGAGCCATGTAGATGGCTATCCTCACCATAGGATATCCTCAGCTGGGAGAGGGACCAGGACCAGGTCTTTAAGTGCAGTTTCAGTAGCATTGGGGTCATTGGCAACTTGTTAATATGTGAGTTCCACAGGAGACTCCATTGATGTAATGCAGTATTCATGAGTGCTCACCCATGCAGAGGTGTGTTTTTCAGGAATGCAGCTGTCTGAATCACTCATGCTCCTGTAGGTAACTGTGATGAACTCAGTGGTTCACAGAGGTGGGATTGGATGAAATCCTTTCTTTGGTCCCTCATTGACTCTACTGGGGTTAACAGAAACAGATTTCCCGTAGAAGAGGTCACTCCTCTCCATGGCAACTCTACCTGGCAGTGAGCCTCTTTCATGTCAAGAATGCAGGTTTGGACCCCAGAGTGGTGGTGCATGCCTTTAATCCCAGCACTCAGGAGGCAGAGGCAGGTGGATCTCTGTAAGTTCAAGGCCAGACTGGTCTACATAGTGAATTCCAGAGCAGCTGGGGCTACAGGGAGACCCTGTCTCAAAAAAGACCTGAAAAAATAACAGAAAGCAAGGTCAGGACCTGTGTCCAAGGTTATATGCATAGCGTACAACCCAACCAAGAGTCCAGATCTGAACCCTGGCCCTGGTATTGTGTGACTCAGAGATGTACTTCTAAGCTGGATAGCATGGAGGGTGATAGATACAGGACTTCCACATAATCTCAGAGTTCTCCTGAACTAAAAGACCCCACTGAGCTCTAGGCATTTACCCCCAGCCTTTCCACCTTGTCCTGAGCTGCTCTGGAGCCTGAGGAGACACGGATAAATAGGCTGTTAAATGTGGGAAAGACCCTACATTCTACCAGCACCAGAGCTATGAGAAATAGCCCAAGAAAATGCCCAAGAAGATACCCACAAGCATGACCACTGGAGAATCTGTCACCTCTCATGCCCTAATGACATTGGATGGGCCTGAAGATGCTGAGGATACATGGACTAGAAAGAACTTGAAGGCATTGAGTGATGGGTGGAAGAGCCCAGGCCAGGAGAATCTGGTCATAGGCATGGATCAGAGTCCAGAGGATACCCACTGGATGGGTGGATACCCCAGGGATCAGCAGAGCTGTCACTAAAAACCATCAGCCTGCTAAGGTTCAGCCATCCCTGCCTCTTCAAGTCACAGACCTCATAAAGTCACAGACCTCGTAAAGTCACAGACCTCACAGACCTGGGCAGCATTTAAGCCCAGAGTAGAGTCTATCCATGTTCCTTGACTGTGGACCACTTTCTGAGGGACATGGTATGTGGAAGTGGCCCCACTGTATCACACACCACCTGAAATCTTCCTGCCCTGGCTAAGGAGCAAGCCTACCACCACTCACCTTGAACTCTAGCCATGCAGGAGAAGAGACAGGAAGTTGTCCTGACAAGCCCCTCCCAAGTCCCACGCTACAGCCAGGATCCTTGCCTTATATACCACTGCCCTCCATCAGCATGTGGGTAGGGTGAAGAATGTCCTGTGTAAGGACTGTGGGGCTCTAAGCTGGGCAAAGTGGTAGGTTTCCGAGCCCAGAAACCTGACTCTGCCAGCCTCCTGAGTCTCAGTGCTGTCTTCTGGACTTATGATACTATCATCTCTCAAGGCCATTTTCACATCCTTGGAATTAAATGTCAAGATTATGCAGATAGGGATGGTGGTTTAGGTCATTTGGAGGAATACTTCCTAGAATGCATGAAGCTGCACATTCCATCCCCAGAACTGCCTGGTGATAAATTGTAATCTCAGGACTCAGGAGGTAGAGGCAGGAGGATCAGAAGTTCAAGGTCTTCCTCAGCATAGTTTGAGGCCAGCTTGGGATTCACAAGACCCTGTTTCAAAAGAAAAAGAGTTAAAAGGAAGAAAAAAAGCCATGTGTAATGAAAAACAAATTTTATTTATTTATTTATTTATTTATTTATTTATTTATTTATTTATTTATTTATTTGTATATGTGTGTATCTATGTGTGCATGCATGTATGCACCACAGCATGTATGTGGTCAGATGACAATCTGCAGGAATCATTCTCTCCTTCCACTATGTGGGGCCTGGAACTCAAACTCAGGTTGTTAGACTTGGTGGCAAGAGCCTTTACCTGCTGAGCCCTCTTCCTGCCCCCCAATTTTACACACACACACAGATTTCTGTTTGTTTTTTGAGACAGGGTTTCCTTGTAGCCCCAGCTGACCTATTTGGAACTCAATATATGGACTGGGCTGGCCTCGGTCTCACAGAGATCCGTCTGCCTCTGCCTTCCAAGTGCTGGGATTAAAGGTATGTGCTACCACACTCGGCTCCAATTATATATATTTTTAAAGGTTTATGCACACCCTTTATCCATGACCTCACTGAAAGGACAGGTTTTTATGGGAACTTATGTGATGACAATAATCTACCCCAAGCTGGATCTGAGGGCCATGGGTGTGACCAGCATACAGCTGGTGAGAAATGGCATGAATGTGAACTCTCTCATGTAAGAAGGGAAGAGAGGGCAGACATCTTAGCAGCAAGCTCTGCCTTCATTCTGTGTGGGCACCTGTGGGCACTTACTGATCAGGCTGAGGACTGGGTCTCA